CGGGTCCTGAGTGGGAGTGAGAGGGCCTGTGTGAATCAGCAATTGACCCAAATCAAACAGACTGGCAGATAGATGGGAGCTGTCAACAGCAGCACCCTGCTCCGATCACTGCGGATTCGTCTGAGTGTCTTCTCCTTTGGGGAGTCAACCAGGTTTCCCCTGTTGCAATCCCTCTCTCCTCATAGCAAGTGGCGAAGGCAGCTATGTCCAGAATATTACAAAGAACATCCAGGTAGAGAGAACAGCAATGCAAAGGCCCTGAGGCAGGCTCAAGGTTGTTGGAAGGACCCAGCTCACCTGCTTCTTTCTCCACCTCTGGTCCTCAGGATTACCGGAAGTTCTGGACAGGCCTCCAAGGTCTCACCCTTTATTTCTACAATAGCAATCGGGACTTCCAGGTAAGGATGAGTGTGTGAGTATGGGGCCCTAGAGATGGGACCAAGCAGAGACTGTGGGTGGTGCGGTTAAATTAGCAGTTACATCTTCAGAGGGACTGAAGGGACACAGAAACGGGGTTCAGACCTTCTGCCTCTGTCTCCCCCAGCACGTGGAGAAGATAGAGCTGGGAGGATTCACAGAGCTCAGAGATGACAGCTCCCGGGCTGGTGTTCGTGACGTGGGCGTTCACTTCAGCCTGGTCCTTAGGAACCAGGAGATCAAGTTCAAGGTAAGTCCCTGGAGGGGTTGGTCGAACAAATTCCCTCTCCAGTGGGCTCTGGTGGCCTTGGACAAGTCACTCAGCCTCTCTGGGCCTCAGTTTCCTAGGTTGTAAAATAGGACAATAGGTATAAAGTGTCCATTCAGCAGAAGCTCTGATCGACAAGGCTCAACAGCCCCATCATCCATCCTTGCAAAACAATACTATTTATTGGGCACCTACTATGTGCCGGGTGCTATTTGAGATGCTGAGGAATGTAGCAGCAAACAAGCCAAGGGAGAAAACCCAATCTAATGTGTGTGTGTGTGTGTGTGTGTGTGTGTGTGTGTGTGTGTGATGGGGGGGATGCAATTATTTAAATATTTACCTTTTGCTGAGTGAAACAAGGGCTAGGTGAAGGGGTGCGCTTGCAATGATGTTGAGTAACAGGATTAGGGACGGGGAGGGAGCATGCTGTGTGGCTGTCAGTGGAAGAGTGCTTCATCCAGAGAGCGGCTTGTGCAAAGGCCCTGAGGTAGGTTGGAGGGTGGGAGGGAGAGGAGGAGGGAGCGCAGGGGAGGCACAGGACAGGAGGGCTTTAACTCCACAGAGGAGGGGTCGGCCCTGATTCTAGTGCTCACACACGCCCCCTGGCTGTTGTGGGGAGAACAGACGGGAAGGTGGGAAAATCCAACTGGGGCCTCTTGGCTTTCTCTCCCTCCCTTAGGCGGAAAGCCTGGAGTCTAGGGAGATGTGGAAAGGATTCATCATGACTGTGGTGGAGGTAAGTAGTCCTCCTCCCTCGCTCCGATCACAAAGGCTTGTCAGAAGACCCCTTTTTAACTTCCGACCTGAACAATCCTCTTCATCAGAGATTCCCACACGGATTTGGCTTACTCATCCCTCTTTTCAAAAAAGGGAGGAAAAGTTGTTTAGTGCCCTCTTGGGGGTTAACCACTTTTGTACTATAGCCCATAATCCAGGCTAAAGTGTCACTCAGAATGCAATCACGTCGACGCCCACTCGTGGGAGTCCTATGGGACAGGGTAGAACTGCCCCTGTGAATTTCCTAAACAGCGGCTCTTTAGCAGAGTCAGAAGAACCGGTGGTTTTGAACCATTCACCTCAAAGTTAGCAGCCCAACACAGAACCACGACACCACCAGGGCTCCAAGGACAGGTGGAGTTGGCTGCTGTTGTAGCCTTCCCTGGATTGTTCCAGCACCCCCTCGGGGGCGGTCTCCCCCACTTTAGGAACCACAGCCCTATCTACAGTTTCAAACCGATGGGCCACAGGCCAAGTATGGCCACAAACATTTTTTTTTTTCTTGCCTACAAAGTGCTAAAACCTTTCAAATGAGCGGTCCAGACTTTAAAAATGAGCTGGCGGCATTGAAAAGCCAGGCATTCTGGTCGTTGAGTTTGAGACCCTAGATTCTAGCACCTCCTGTGTCCCTACTTTCCCCCACTGTGTCCCCACTTGCACTGCAGTCCTGCTGACGTTTTTGGGTCCCTCTGTTCATCATTTGGAGCCCCCAGAACTGGCCTTCCATCCGGGCCCCGCACTCTGGCCTCAGTTTACCCGTCTATGACATGGGTGCAGTCGCCCGTCCTCCGACCACCCGGCGCAGTCTATGCCCCAATGTCCTCTTAGCTCCGAGTTCCATCCAACCTGACCCTGCTGCCTGGGCACCTGTACCGGATGGCTGAGGCCCGGGACAAGGAGGAGGCGCGCCGCCTGGTCGAGCTGCCCCCGTGAGTGGCCTGCCTGGGCTGAGGGGGTCCGGGGTGAGGGTGGAGGGCCGAACTGGAATGGAAGTTGTGTCTAGCGTTGAAGACCAAACTGCCCGCGGGCTGGCTTGCGGTCAGATCCCATGTTGGGGGCGGGGAAGGATCACAGGAGGCGGGATCAGGTATTTAGGGAAGGGGCTAGGTTCCTTGGGGTGGGTCTAGAAGTTAGGTGGGGTCTGGGGCTGGGTTCCGAGGAATGGACCTAGGTTCTTAGGGGTGGCGAGTCTAAATCAGGGACGAGGGATGAGGCATGAAGAGCCTTGGGCTTGAGAAGTTGTAGGTGTTGGAGTTGGGGGTGGGTGGGGACAGGTGCTCAGGGGTCCTGTATAGGCTCGTGGGGGCGAGCCTAGGCCACTAACTGGGTACCCAGGTGCACCACCTCAGCTGGCGGCTGGGTAAAAGGCCAGGGGCCGTGTCTAAACACCTGGGGGCGGGGAAGTGCAAGGGCCGTGTCTAGGTGCAGGGGCGATTAACGCCCCGACAGGGCTGGGCCCCGGAGGCGGGGCCTGGACCGGAGGGTGTGACGCGGCTGTCGCAGGTGCTTCCTGAAGGTGAGCCGGCTGGAGGCGCAGCTGCTCCTGGAGCGCTACCCGGAATGCGGGAACCTGCTGCTGCGGCCCGGCGGAGGCGGTGCGGGCGGCGTGTCAGTCACTACCCGCCAGATGCTCAATGGGTGCGCATGCCTGGAGGGCAGGGCGTAAGGTGGGGGAGGAAGCCAGGGAGGGAGGCGTGGCCTGGTTTCTGTGCGTAACCAGGTGGGGCGTAACTGACCCCCGTCACAACTGGAATCCGTGCAGGTCTGGAGGCGGTGCCAGAGCCCAATCTAGGGACCCAATCTTGGGTGGTGACCTGGATTCAGAGCCTGGGGCCAGATTTTACCTGCCGAGGAATCTCCACTGGGGTGGAGCCAATCCCGAGGGCCGAGCCAATCTGATGTGGGCGGGGCCAAGACAGTGGGCTGGTCCACCAGGGGTGGGGTGCAGGCAGGTCCTTCCCAGGGCCAAGACAGTGGGCTGGTCCACCAGGGGTGGGGTGCA